GTGCTTGGTATTTCCTGTCTCCATTAACAGTTATGTCTCCATTAACATATTTCAAGTGGTGCATGAAGAAAGGGAGCTATTGAAAAATCACAAAGCCAAGATATTCTTTAGTAACTTAAAATGGTCAGACAAAACATATTGTCATGCTCAGACACAGCTCTTCAAGGATTTTGAACATTTTTTTTCTTTCTTTGAAAGAGATTGAATAATGGTATATCTGAAATCTTACACTGCACTTCAGTTGTGCCATGAAAGATAGAATTCATATTTGATATTAATGGAGCAGGTGAAACGTGAAATGATATTTCTTTAATCTTTAATGAAATTTCTGGTTTTAGCATTTAGCTTGTCTGTTCAATGACACAGAAGAGCTAATAATATCACTGTTTTTGAAGAATTCATTCACTACAGGCAGCCTGATTTTCTGAATCTGTTGGAAGCTGTTTAGGTGCTCCAATGATGCATGAAAATAATAATAATAAAAAAATCCTATGTCCTTGAAGCCCAGTGATTAGAATTGGAAACGTATAATTAAAAAAGAAAAAAAAAATCTCCCAGTAAGCCACTACCCTGGAATAGGCACCCAGTAGTTTATAAAATAAGAGTTCTACAGGAATTAGCAGGAACAACAGGCTTTCAGGAAGTCTTCAACCGAGCATGCTCCATAGCTTAGATATTCATGCTCTATAGCTTAGATATTCAACACTGAGAAATTTAATGGTGCTTTCTGTAGCAAACTCTTTCTTTGCTGAATGACTTTGTTGTTTTAAAATTTAAGAATTGCTTTTGTAAAACCCCATGAAACAGGAAAAGTTACTAATGATGTTGCAAGTTTTTGTGGAGAGAAACTGATTTTTCCTCATGGGGAGGTATAAGTGAGAAAATATTGTGCATGATAAAAAGCTTGCTCTGAGACAGAGTATTAGCAAGAGGAGGTCCTGTGGGGACACACACACAGTGTACCACCTCCATCCCAGCCTCTTTGGGGCCAAAGTAGATTGTGGAGTCTCTTGAGGTCATTCACCTTGGTTTTCCATGATTTCAGCCTAGAATTTTAATTTTTCTTTTGAGGAGGTAGTGCTGACCTTCTTAAAACAGAGGAACGTTGGAGTAGTGTCCAAAGGATGCATTTATACTTCCAAAAATCAGAGTTGCTCTCTGGTACCCATTAAAGCTGGCTGGTAACAGAGCTAATATAAACCTTGGCCATTCTCCCAGTTGACTGTCCTAATAATAGAAAAGCCCCTCTGAGTGAGTAGCTAATACTGGGGATCTGCCAGGCAATTTTCATTAAAAAGAGCAATTGGTGACAATATCCTTCGAGGAGACCTGCTTGTCTTCCTCAAAACACCACTGGAATGACCAAGAGGAGGCTCTTTCTCCATTCCTTTTTTTTAGTTCTTCTTTTGTTGTTAGCACTTCCCTGAAGTCTTTGATTTTTTGAGGTGTCTCCAACACCTGCTTCTCTTTGCTTTTCAGTTACACTTTTTTTTCATACAAGTGATGCTGCAAATAAATTCACCCTCTCACCCTTTCATCAGCTCATAGGGAAACTCCCAAGCATCTGTGGCTGAGCTGGAAAGTAGCGCTTTGTGTGGTTTGGTGTTGGCAGGTAGGTTTTTCCCCATCTGTCGTGTTTTAAAGAGGACCTGGCTCTCTTCTTCCATCCAGCCTGAAGGGAGTGAAACCAGGAGGGCAGCTAGTAAACTCAGTAGGTGGTGAACAGAGATAAAATGTGCAGGAGGCACTTGCAAAGGCCACCAGTGCATAACCACGTGGGCATCGAACCACAGCTTGCTGTGAACCAGTGTGAACATTAGGGCTTAGAGAAACCTTGAAAAGACAATGGGACCATGTTCTGATGAAAGAATATACCATTTGTAAAGTAGCCTTGTCTTGGGCTGTTCCAAGGATCAACACTGCTCGTAGTGTAGTCTGGATTTCCCCTGACCTGTCTGTTGCTGCAAGGCAGGATGCCCATGCCCTGCCAGATATCTGGGAGGTTGAGGTTGCTTCCCCAGGGACTAATGCCATGGGGATCTTCCCCAGCTGCAAATGGGTCTTTTGGGGTCCTTCTGCATTGTCGTGGCTCTTCTGCCAGCACCAGGCAGAGGGAGAGGTTGAAGAGCTCTCCCCAGGCTTTTTAGTAAATGTTTCCCTCCTGATTTATTAAGATCAGCTTGAATTTTAATTTGCAGAAAATATGTCTATCAGTAGTACCCACAATCACATTTTCTGCTGAAGTCTTCAGATGTGACCCAGAAATCTTATCAGAGAGCACTGGGCAGAGTGCCTGCTTAGCAAAACCCACCGCAGGTACATCTGAGTGCTGCCATTTATAGGATATCTGAGCTGTGCCTCAGCTATTTCAGATGACATATATATATTTAATCCATGGCAGCATATTAGCAGATCAGACTTAGATTAATCAGGCTAAAGATAACTTTTGGACCTTTTCCACATGTAGGTCAGAGAAAAAGAAGGTAGATATTTATCTGTGCTACAACGCTAGCTTGCACTGTGTAGCAGATGAAATTTTCAGGGGCATCAGTCAAAGAAATGCTGTAATAAGATTAAGGGAATCAAAGTGAACGGCGTTTGCTTGTGTCTGTATGTGTGTGCACAAATGCAATACAAGCTTTTCAATTTGCAGAAACTATCAATTTCCAGTTAAATTATCTCTGCTATTATAGTAGCAAATACGCAAATTTCCTTTATGTTAAAATATCTTCCTCTGTTTCCTTAGTGTAAAGTCCTGCCCACTGATATTATTACAGAAAACTACAGCTAGAATAACAGTACAGCTGTTCAAGGAAAAACTCACTGCATGTCAGGAACAGGGCTCATGTTTTAAACCCTGGTGATTCCTGGAATAAGTCAACTAATGCAAAGGAATTAATTCCTTTAAAAATAGATTAGGTCACATTTAGAATGTTTAATGTGAACTGTTACTGTATGTATTAATGGAGCACTTCTTTTCTGCAGATTAAAAACTGAGCTAGTGTTAATAAATCAAAGGAACCATTAAAATGCTCTGTAGCCTCTACCAGAGTCCCTTGGAAAAGGCCTCTGAAACACTGTTATACACACAGATTCTGATGAGAAGAAAAATTAATTGAAATTCTAAATGTTCTTTAGCAAATTCTTCATTTTTGACCTCACTTACTGCACTTGCAACATCAGAAAGATCAGTGACGAAACCTCTCGTGGTAATTCAAAGAAACTAAGTCACCGGGCTCCAAAGTGAGAAGCAAATGTCCCACAACAGCAGACAGCTAAGATGTAGGCTGAGACCTTGCCCATACTGAAACTTTCACCATCAACCTGTAACAGTGTGGATTACATCCAAGGTCAGCATAAAAGTTTCTTTTGGTTTGACGTCAGCTACTACAAGAAAAAATTGTCAAGAAAAGGATACTTTTTTTTTTTTTTGGCTTTGCTTCATTCATAGATTAGTGGGAAATTCTTATATTCTTCCAAGCAGATAACATGCTTTCAGAGCCCTATTACATGTAATGTAATACATATGGAAGGGGAACCCAATTTTCCTTCAGCAGGCAGCTCTTTCTGCTCTTGTTTTTAAGCTAATGACTCAGTAACAGCCCTCCTCTTCACCCCTCTGAAGAGCATCTTTGGTAACCCTTGTTAGAAGCATCACTGATGATGTCCCTCATGTCTCCCAGAGGACAGAGTTCATTAGCTTATTACAGGAAGAATGCACTCACTCTCCTTTTCTAAAGGTTAATTACCTCATCATAGACATTTGTCCATGCTGTTCTCATTGGTCTCCCCCAAATGCGGCCATACACAGGTCCCTTTCAAACGCCAAGCAATGGCTAAAAGGACACCTTTAGCCACACAGTGGCAGGCTTCTTCATTTCCAGACTCTCCTGCCTTTTCATAACATCTCTGCCTGACAATGAAGAGGGAGGAGGAGGTAGTGTCTCCGGTGTGGAATAAGTGACTAGTGCTCTCATTTTTTTACTGGAAAACCCTCTCTCCAGTTCCACATGCAACATTATGATTTCTTCCTATTTGGAGCATGTGCCCTATCAAGTCTTTTCCTGGAAGGTCTTCATTTTTATTATCGAGATTGCACCCAGCAGATGAGACAGAAAATATTGTCAATACATATTTTAGACTTGACTCATCTTTGATGAGTTTTCCCCCTTCCTGTTAGTCTGATCTGGGGTGGGGTCTGCTCTTGTCCCCACCACTGCCCTGCTCTGTGGCCATTACTGTAGCCATTACTGGTCCACTTCCCATTCCTGGGAGTCCCCTTTCCTCGTTCCCCTTGGCTGGCCCTGCCCAGGGGCCCTGTACTGGGCACAGTAGGATCTCACCTCAGGCCAGGCTTGCAGGGCAGCCCAAGATGGTTAGGTTGCTGTGTTGGCTGTCTCATTCCCACATCTCCCCACTGCCAGCACCCTTGAGCTCCCTTTCTTCTTGCACTTTGCTCCTCAAATCCCTCACTGCATTCTTCTGGCACCTGGGTCAGGGAAAAGCAGGCAATGCCCAGGCCACTGGGCATATCCCCACACAAGGGTCTTTAGCACCACTGCAAATACCGATAATACTAATAATACATTGGATTTACTTTCTGTTTCACACATTGGTATAGCTCTTTTCTCTTTTTAGACTGAGGGGAAAGTGGGGAAGTTCTTTCAGTGCTGCGGTGTTTCTCAAACTATTTCTGCAGCCACAACTGCAACCCCATTGAACATCTCAGGGGGTGGGACAGGCTGAAAGGGGTCTCTGAGCTGAACTGAAATCAGGTTCAGCACCCACAACATGGTCAGCTTCATAATGTGCTGTAAACCTAATCTGTGAGCCCAGAGGGTCTTCTGGCATCCTTGCACTTGTGGTCCTTCTCCCACACCACTTATTAGTGATGCATCCTCTCTACCCTGCTCTCGTGTCCCCGCTTGGGAGCCTTGGGGTGCTGGGTAGTGACCTTCAAAGCTACTCATCAAGGACATGTCTGGCTTGCTGTGTTCCAGAGACCCTTTGCAGCAGGCAAACAGGACTTGCAGCTGACAGAAGGCATTTTGCCAGGAGCCAAGGGATAAAGATGTGATTTCCAAATATGTCCAGCCACGGACCTGACCCTGTGTTGTCAAGGGTCGCACTCTTCATCACCTTAGGGAAGATGGATTCATGTCAAAGCAAATGTAAGGTGGAAATCTGTGAATCCTTCAACCTCTCTGTCTAAAGGTATTTTCACTACACACTGCTAAGGAATATATTCCCCCTGTTCATATATTCCCCCCCGATTTTGCTGGTTTTCCTGTGGAAAGAGGAGGGATTAATCCAGTTGCCATCTTCCTGAAATGGCACACACTGTACCCCATCCCCACAACAGGAATCCACTATGCTGAAAATCAGATTCAGGCCTTATGATAATCTGAAGAAACTGGTTTTGAATCAGTTATACAGCTGTTCAGATGACTAGAGAGGATTTTGTATAATTTGTCCCAGTAAAATCCCATTTTTTAGCAGAAGTAAAATGTGGTCAGGATCCCCAATATTCACTGCTTTCTTATGAATATTGCCTCACAGCATTTCTCCATAACAAAAATATTAATTTAGCATATTTGTTTTAGTGGCAACTTAAAGAACTGAGTGTATGCATTTCACAGAGTCAGTTTTCCTATTTATTATCTGACACGCTTATTTTGACTCAAGTTTCTACTCCTTCTGAGAGGATACTGCAGAGAGATAATCCACTCTAAATATTTTCCCTCCCAGATTATTTCTAGTTCTTAGCGTTGGAAACTGATCCTTCATTAGGAACTGATCTAGAAGCTATTGAAGTTTGTTTTTTTTTCCTTATGCTTTCAGTGAGCACTCTATTGGATTTGAAAGTAAATTGGATTGATGAATTTGTCTGGAAATGGTGAAACTCTCTTGTTCTGCAGCTTAGCCCTAAATGTGACGACATTTCACATTTGCCTTGCAAAAGTAGCGAAGGTATCTTCAAGAGGCATAAAAATCTTCTTTTTCTCTTCATGTTAAACTAGAGAAGATTAAATTTTAATGTAAAATCCGTAAGGGGCATTTATGGAGAAACCATGTCCTTGCTCAGATTATTTTCCCAGGCAGAAGTTCCTCTAGGCAGCCTTTGGTTTTCTAGTTTTCCACAACATTGTAAGACACAAACTTCTATGTCAAAAATAATTAGAATAAACTACTTTCAAAGTCTGGAAGAAACTAATTTTCCACAGATACTATCTTATAGATAATGAAGTACTATATTATAAATAAGGAAAATTAATATATTAAACAAAGTTATTTTCATAGCACTTCATGTAATACAAAGCTCATTCTTTGTACAAAGCTTTTGTTTCTTTGTTCCTTGCTGTGTTCTAATTTCAAAGGAATAAGGATTAGAAAACTGTGCATATACATACACATCCACACATGAAATATATTTTTTTCTGTGTTTAGAAATATATTTCCAAATACAGAAATGTCATAATTGGACTGAGTCAGATCTTTTGAAAAGTTCATGAAATGTGACTTGCAGGTGCAGATGCAGACTCCTGTTGCTGAGTCAAAGATACCAATTCAGCCCAGTTAGAGTCCTTTCCATTAAATGCCCATGCCTTTTCAAAGCTTAGTTCCTGATTCCTCCACAATGTTTTTAGTAACGTCAGCTACGAAAGGCTGTAAGTTTTGGCTGGTGCTTCATGTTTGGTCAGCAGCTCCTATGCCACCAATGTCAATGGCAGCTTTACACAAAGATGAAGAGCTGTAGTAGTCCAGCCTTCAGTAGACAAACATTATTTTCCATCAGCTCTTTCCTTTCAGTATCACATGCTGGGAAAGAAGGGAATCAAAGCGAGAAAGTCTCAGTGTCTGTGGATGACTCCTCACACCTCTGTAGCACATGAAAAAATCTGCCCCTAGAAACATTGTGTAACCTGGAGTTCTCCACTAGCATTTATGAATGCTGATATCTCATATCAGATACTCCAAAAGCCTCTATTGCTACACCACCTATCACCTTTGATTCAGCAAATCACAAGCAATGGCTCTGCTACCTAAAAGAAATATGGGGAAAAAAAAAGCAAGAAAGAGTAACAAAGAGAGATCTCTCATCTCATATTGCACTTTTTTTTCCACTTTCCTCCTAATGCAATAAGGTTTTTCTTAAAGATCTGCTTTATCAATTAGGCTTTATTGCAGCCCCTGACAGCATCTATCCAGTGAGAGATGGCTAAACCTTTCTCCTTGACTACCGAACCTCTCAGGTCCAGCCTGTAACAACAGGATGCCAATGACCTGACTGGATGCTGCTTCCTTTAAAGACATGCTTAAAGCTTTTTAAGCTTTCTTGATAAATTAGAAGTCATCGTAATTATTTTATAGCTAAATGCAAGTAGTTTAAATGCCCCAGGGCTTAATTTTATCTTACCAGCTTCAATTGTAACATGTAGGTTTTCCAATATGTCTGGAAGCTCTTCAGAATTAATCCTGGGTCTCTCTCCTTCCATCCCGCTGTGTCTCCTGCTTCACAAATGCTGTTTGTCCGGGACTTTAAGCCATTCTTTTTCTTCTTGCAGTGGTGTCTTGAAATGAAACTGCTTTAATTCTGCTGCTTCCCTGAGTGCAAGCTGACCATTTTTTGAGTCTGGTTTCTCTGCTAACCATACTGAGAATTTGTTTAGGAAGGCCTCCTTCTGTAAGTCCTGCTATTCCTTGTTATTTGACATTTTATCTGCAGGCAGTCTTTTGGCCAGTTTCTGGTGCCAGCCAAGTTCTTTGAGAGAACGTTCTTGGATAGCCATCCGGTATCAAACCACCTCTGTGTGAGACAGTTCGCAGGCCACTAACCAGCATGCTGAGAACTCTGTTGTATCATGTGGCCATTCCTAATTGTTGTGCTCAGTGGGCCTTGTCCATTTGCACCCATATTTTGTATCTAAAATTTAGTTAGATAATTTCAAGATTCATGACTAATTGACTAATTGGCATAAAGTCATAATTTCTCTCTTCAAAAGAGAGAGAGACAGAGACCTATTTGGAATTCATGCACGGATTATTCTCATGAATGGACCAAAGTTTACATACAGGTCAACAGCAGAGCAATCTTCCCATGGATGCTGTCAGCAAACCTCAAATCTGATCAGCAAAATATCTTAGTGAACTATTTAGTCAGTGCTAATAGCCAAGCACTGCAAAGTGTGCAGTTGAATTTGTGGTGGGGGTGCTGGAGGCACATGAGCTTCACCACAGAAAGGGAAATATGGATATCTATCAGCTGAGAATAGTTTTGCATTCCTATTGCAGTGGTCTGTGGTCATATGGGGGAGCTATGAGCAATAGGCTCTGACATTCTGACCTCTGGACACCGAGGATTAACATTAATCATGGCATTACACCTTCATTTAAAACTGAGCTTCTGGAATGATGGATTAGTAAAAGTGAGCTCTGAATGTTTATGTACCAGTGAAGGCTCCCAACTTCCCACAAAAACACAGTTTACTGCTGGCTATCCTCACCTTGCAGAAGTTCATGGGACTAGGATTGTGCTGAGGTTTTCCTCTACTATTTTATCCATTAATCAAATACTGTTCCACTTTAAAAAGAAATAAAAGCAAATCTGATACTATAAAAATTGCAACTACTATGATACTTAAATTTGCATCAGTCACACCTGGATCCACGGTCTCAAAGAGATGGAAGAGCCTATTACCAGTTCCATCACAGGTGTAAGTGACAGAAGAGTCCACAGAGCTAAGGAGAACCATTAATTTATGTAACTGTTTGAGAATCAGAGTTGTCAAGATCTCTAGATTCCCTCTCCTCTCTTAGGAGAGGAACCAAGTCTGGTAGTTACAGGCAGCCAGGTGGAGAGAGATGGGGACACAGACACACAAATACAGGCTCGGACAGGCTGTGGAACCTATATCCACAACCTCTCAGCAGAAGCTTTTCCAGAAGTGAAAGCAGAGTGAGAAGTGCTGCAGATACAGTATGCCTCTGTACAACTTCTCACTAGGGGAGTGGAAAAAAATGTCTGTACTGGGCAGCTCTACAGGATGTGTGTTTTGGTCGCACGAAGGAAGACCAGAAAACTGAATGCAGTTTAATTTGCTTTTCAAGTATTGGTCATTACCATGTCTATAAGAGGCACCTGCCATAGGCCATCTCAGCATGTCCTTCAGCTCACCAAAGTGATAAAGCTGTAAGAAAGTCAGGAGAAAGTTTAGGATACCCCCAAGCCAGGCACAGCATGTGTGAAGCTGAGGCGTGCTTCTTGCCACGCAGGGATGCTCGAGTGGGGAGCAGTGTGCCTCCTCCCAAAGGCTTGGCTCAGCACATGCAAATGTTCTACAGATTCTCACATCATATCTTAGCCACATTTCTGGCACAGTCCTTGATGTACTCCCGGGGGCTGCAAGAGCCCCTTTGCTGCAGGATAGATAGCAAAATGTGGCGTGCTAAGCCAGGTCAGCAGAAGGCTGCTTTTCACCCTCTTTCTGCTGACAGAGCGGTGGAATAGCTGGGATGTGGCACGAACAGCCCTGCTGCTGCTGCTGCAGCAAATGAAGAAAAGAGTAAAGAAATGTTAGTACCACATTTAGCTTTATTGAAATTGAACAAATACCTTTTTTTAATAAACCCTTTTACAGCAAGTGTAAAATTTTAATGTTTAACTCATGTTACAGGTTGTCTTCTTCCGTGTAAGCAAAAATACCATCTTTTTTTTTTTCTTTTTTTTTTTCCTTTTTTTTTTAATTTTCTACTTTAAAACACGTAGCAAGGATTTGAATAATGCAGATCCGGCACCAAAAGGTAACAGGTTCTGAAAATCACAGTACAGTTTTAAAATTCTTAGGTTAATTAATGATATTTAAAATGATAGCCACTTTGAGTAAAGATATAAATTAGAGGTCTGTAAACAAGTTGTGTTTACCTATAGAGCTATTGACTGCAGCTACAATGAGAACGGTAATAGAAACTCAATGCTAAACTGAGCTACACCTTTGAGGAAACAAGTTCTTACTAAGTAGTGTGGTACAGGGTAGCACAATAGGTAAAATACATTTTGGCACCTCAAGTTGCATGTAAAATCAGCAGAAATAAAATAAAGTAAGTGCACTGTCTCCCAACAAAAATAAACCAGGTAGTTTCACTGGTTTTGGAGTGTCAACTATCAAATAAA